CCCACACCCACACCCACACACACCCACACCCACACCCACACCCATCCCACCCTGTTTTCTGACTAAAAATCGAGATAGTCATAAGTTTCTGTAATGTCTGACACTGTTCATGTTCATGTAAAACAGTATATTCAAGTGACAATAAATCAGACTGCTTAGTATCAATGTTCATGAATATACATGAAATATTTGTCTCAAGCCTTATCTTGCGGTACGAGTTTCAGGATGTCTATGAATGTCGCAGTTTTTATAGATATCACTTGTTATATGTATGAATTCTAATGCTGTATTTTCACAATTTTTTGAATGTTATAGTTAAAAAAGTTAATTTGAGTTAATGCAGAAAAAAAATAGATGAAAGGTTGGCTTAAAAACCGAAGAAGTTTCATATAACAATAGATATTTTTGCTTCATCCGTTTTTTATGTTAAGAAGACCATCCATAACGCCCTCTATATGACGTCTACGAGCATCGAATCCAGTAGCAGGTGATGCAGCTTGTTCATTATTCTTAATAAATAAAAATGTTGGTATTGATGTGACATTGTATTTTTCAAAAATATCAGTATTGGAACTTTCCTGATTGCATTTGAGAAAAATAACACGGTCTTTATATTTTTTACTTTCACTCCAGAAATCAACAGTACTGTCCATTCGATTGCTTGTTTCATCGCTTCTAAGAAAAGAAGAAGCAGAAACCAGTTATAATCATCAGTACAATAAACTTACGGGTCAAAAAAGAAAAGTACAATTAATTCAGTTGTAGGGCTTAGATGCGCCTGAGTATTGTCGAATTGAGCTAATGATTCAACGTTCAAAGCCATGATGAGAAAATATCAAATAGTTCCAAGTGTTTATCTATAAATAAATAATGCATGCATTTTATGATATAAAAGAATACCAAGGCTTAGACACATGACTTCATACTAAGGCAAACTAACTAATATAAATAATTTTTAGAAAAATGCAACTGAAGGTTAAATAGAAACAAATGAAAAAAATATGAAAAAACAATAGAATAAATTTTGTTCATGGTTTCTTGATTGATGGTGTTTGAAGACCTTCGACGACTGATCGCAATTGCTGAATTTCATCGTGTATTGCATTGATTGTAGGACTAGAATAAACAATACATTGCAAAAACATAAAAATAGGATAGTAAACATTTACGACTTGGAAAATCGATCATAAATCCTTGAAAGGTTTAACTAATCCAAATAGTCACTATACGTATTCTGGAATTTAGGAAAACGAAAAAAATGAAAACAGTTTTGTTTATGACAAGATGTACAATACGAGTGCTCATTGTGTTTTTTGTAAAAGTTCTAGTAGAAAACAATTCATATAAATTGGTCTAGAATGATATTGGGTTGTCATCTACACTATTTATCTAGTATTCTGACAGCTCGAATAATTCAAACGTATTATCGGCAATGTTTTCAAACTTACCTTGGATTCACAATAAATTTGTTTTCTATCACTGATTTTGCATAGCTTTTCGTTGCTGCATTTTCAAACGAATCCCAACGATAGTTCATTAATTTTTCGTTCTTTGGGATTATTTCTTTCAATGAGATAAAATATTATTTGACATTTATACTGTTTTCTATTTCTTACTGAAAAATTTTTCTTTTGTTGTCTGCGGTTCTTCATTATTATGATTATTATCATTGTGATTATGAGGTTTTATAAATTTAGAGAATATATGTGTTACCAAGTACCATATATGCGGTAAAATAGTTAGCGGTGGATACGAGAACAGAGGTTTTTCGAAATATTCACGTATCAATAGATATCGCTGATATTCCCAATAAAATGCTGTATTCACTTGAACGTTATTTATTGTAAAACTAAACAGTTAAGAAACAGCTTATATTGTCTAAAATATGAAATAAACTTACCCAAACGCAGCAATAAGAAGATTCAAGAGAAGTATACTGATAAATAGCATATGGATTGCTAACAAAACATATGTAGCACTTGTTTGTGCAATGTAAGTTCTATTTTTATTTTCAGCCATTTCTATAAACAAAATGATATATCTCTAGGATTACTCTCAAAACACTACTTGCCCTCAAGAACTTTATCACTACCACCAAATAAAAATGAATAGGGAGGATAAAATATTTGACTAAATATGCCATAAATATTAAAATCGACTTTGTTATGCATGATCATAGCGCGCGAAACAACACCATAGGCAGTAATAAATACAAATATGATATATAAGAAAGAAGCTAAATCTCGTATCTAAATAACATGACAGTGGGTTATTTTTAAAGACTTCAGTGGAGCATTTACCATAGCTTTAATCATCAAAAGTTTAGGTCCAAGATAGTTGTGTGAAATCATAAATTTCAAAGATCGTAAGTACCACAATTCCAAATCAAATGCCATAATGATCCTTAGAATACTTCTTTTTGTGTTTTATTAAAATAAATAGTAATATCTTACCTCGCAGTCGTTAATAAATGTGGCGTATTACCCATAGTATGTCGCATTATGATGCCAATATAAAATAGTGCGTATAAAGCAATATGAGACAATTTTGCCATTAATGATAGTAGTATTGATTCGACAACATATTCACACTCATACATGCTTGTTACAAATTTACTATATTTCTAAACAACAAATGTAATGGCAGATAGATCTATGACAGCTAGTAGCTCAATAGAGGTGGGCAATTAAGCTTAATTTTAAATTAAGTTGACTTTTTCTACTTGATACTTCAAACTTAAATTTTAATTTTAATAGAAAAATTAACACTTAATTAATTTAAAATTAAGTGAAAAACTATAAGCGTGAGTGAAATACAGTTCACTTCTATTATTTTTGTTATGAAAAGATTTTTTTTCAAACTGGTTATTGTTTAAAAAGTTTAAATAAAACCTTTTCGACATCCAGAAATCTGATTGCTCAATTTTTGACCAATCACATTGTAGCAATGAATTTTCCTCTATTAATCAGAAAAAAACAAGAGGATTCTTAAGCTCATATGAAAAATGATCCCCATAAAGCCATAGCTCGACTCGATTCCGACTATGTTTCTTCTGGCTAATCGTGAAGCGAATCCCCTGCTGAAATCTGATCAGTCCAATATTTCATTTAGTCAGAATGGCAACAAACAGACCAGCAATGTCCATTTTTGTTAGTCATGGATTACGAATTGAGAATAGATTTTATCACGAATTTCCAAAACTGAATTGTAGAATCTGACATTTTCATCTCAGAAATCTTTTTATCAAACTTTTTAAAATATTGTTATTTTTGAAGAAATTGGCTTGTGCTCCAGAAAATAAGTCCACAGTTAGTTGTATTTGCTTCACGATTATCAATTAATTACTTAACTATAAGTGAGTGAATTATGTTTAAAACTTCATACGTGAAATTAAGATTTAAGTTTTTTATTAATACTTAATTCTAAGAAATGAAGTTTAAAACGAAAATTTAATTTTGTAATATAAGGTGTTAAGTTATATTACTTAATTAAGTGACGTCATTAAGTCGAATCAGAAATAATGGTCCACTCCTACAGCTCAATGAATGGAAAGAACTACGCTCAAATTTATGTTGGTCAGCTCTTTTTGGTAAGCTCGATCTATTAATTAGTTCTTCTCACATGAACGATATCCGATCCACAGCGAAGGGAAGATTTTCGCTTTGGTGGTGAGCGGAATACATCTGTAGTAAGTTCTGGAGAAATAAAACAACCAGCGACTACATATGAGTTATTGCAAAAAAGCTGGTCCCTCCCTTTTAGCTCACTCAAAAGAGCTGTTCACTTCGTACCCGCTTGTTTAAACGATAAGCAGCTATCGCACACCTACTGGCAGAAGGTTCGCGCTGACGCTAAAATTTACCTGACGAATATGTTCCAAAAGAATCGTTGTTACTGTGATGATCACAAAAATTTCTGTCCAATGAGGAAGTTTCTTATCCATTGGTGGATCAAAATGATATAACATCATATAACTAAATGTAAGTAGTAACCACACGTTAGCAATCTGTGAAGAAATCAAAGTTAGAATACATGTAAATATAGATTATGAGAAGAACACCCCTTACAAAGTCATAGATCATTTTGATCATTGGGGATTCGTGAAAGCTGATAAGTCGTTTTAAATATGAACGACATGTTAGTCTTTGTGAATAGCCAGAGGACATGGGATAGGTCACACCATAGGAATACAGTCTATATCGTCACCCTTTTTCATAAAATAGATACATAAAAAATGTCGCTTACTGTTCATCTTTATTCAATAGTAACTTCTCTTGCGGTTCTTCGTTAGTCAATAGTAACTGTTCTACCGGTTCTTCTTTATCCAATGGCGATTGTTCTTCCGGCCCTTCTTGTTGTTGATTACGGTATATAACATAGAAGGGTGCAAGAACACCAAAACTTAACAAACCAAGAATAATCATTGGCTTTTCGGCAGCATTATGATTGGTTTCATCAAGTTTGTCGTACCATGCTTCATTCATAACTCGTTCAAAACCAGCTGTCAATAAAAATTTCTTACTTTTAGCTGATACTGCAACCTAAGAGAAAAGAAGGATAACTACTATCCGTTTAAAAATCTAGTGCGCATCACTGTTTTTTAAATAACTCAAGAACACAACGAGCTAGAGACCTGTGATTTTCACTACTCGATAGGCGAAACAGGAGGACGTCCTTTTCTCAGATGATGTGTCAGGCGATATCCTTTTAGAACTACTCATCTTTGAAAAACATCGAAAAGAATGCATGAGAATGACCTTCCATCCAGATAAACTTTCCAGTTTGATCTTTGATTTAGATAGAGGAACTTGAGATCTATAGTTTAAGATACAATGTAGTCTCTTCCTTTTCCTTACGTTTTTATCGACATGTTGAGCTCTTATGATAAAAATGCAAAAATATAGCAAAAAAGCAGCAAAATTCCCTATTATTTGAGCATGTGAATACATGGTTCCATTTGATCAACGTTAGAATGTAATAAGAAAAGTATTTGCATCGTATCTTAAACTATAAACCTCAAGTTCCTCTATCTAAATCAAAGATCAAACTGGAAATTTCATCTGGATGGAAGGTCACTTTCATGCATTCTTTTCCATGTTTTTCAAAGATGAGTACTTTCAAAAGGATTTTCCTTGATATATTGTGTGAGAAAAAGACATCCCCCTGTTCCATTTATCGATTGATGAAAATCGCAGGTCTCTAGCTCGTTGTGTTCTTGAGTTATTTAAAAAACAGTGATGCACACTAGATTTTGAAACGGATAGTAGCGTAGCAAACGACATAGTTTCAATCTCACATACTTGCGCACATGTTACGTTACCAAAGAGTGGTATCTGTCGTAGAATGAGTTCACAGGCTTTTGCTTCATTATACTTATAACAAGTATCGATGCACTTTACTGCATATAATTCAAATTCGTCTGCTATATTCTTCCATTTTTCTCTGTATTGAATAATGTTCGTATATTGTGAAAATTTTGTGAATATTTTTGATGCAATGAGTGAAGCACAGATTCTTGGTTTCAAATGAACTAGTAGTACTTTAGCTAGTTCGACATGACCCATAAATACAGACCATAGAAACAGATCTCGTAGTTTATGTTGTTGGGAATAGTTTTTGTCATCTTCTAAAGAAGGTATCCATAAACAAAGATACCGGCGCAAATGTCCCCCGTGATAATTTGGTTTCCAACAGCATCTACAAATTTTTTGAATGACTTTGTCACACGTGCCTTTGAGACTAGTCAAAATACGCTTTCGGTCTCTTTGCTTTCTTTCTGAATACAAAGGCTGGAAAAAGAAACCGATACACTCTTCGCAGAGTGAATCAATAACAGTCAATGATTTAGGTTTCACTCTCTCTTTCCCGTTCAATGTGGAGGAGAGATATTGTTTCTAAAATATGAATAACTGATAGTTTTCTAAGCCGATCTTTAGTGAAAGGTATATACCGCATGCGGTTTGTTCCAGCTATCTTGATAGAATTGTAAGATGTGACTTTGCTTTAACTCTTGCAAAATATCATATTGCGGTCGAAGTAAATAATCAACCACCATAGGTTTGTTACTTTTGATTGAAGTAATAAAATGTTCAACCAACATAGATTTATTATTATCGACTGAAGTGATAGAATGTTTTCCAATTTCACAAGAATGCTAATAATAAAATTTGAAAGTTTCTATGAAGTTACACAAATAAGAAAATGTGAATCTTGTAATATGTTTCGTAAATAAAGGATTTAGTATCGATCTGACAAACCGATATAAAGTTTAATGAGATGAGCTTGACTAGGATTGAGGTCGAGTCTAAAGTGATTCTTTCATGATTAGGATAGATACTGAGCCTGTGATCAGAACCATTTTTCTATCTTTTATCTATTTTTGCGGACTAAAGTTAAGTGGAGAAGTATCGGATCCATTTTAAGTCCGAAAAATTTGCCGAAGAAACAACCTCTTCCTAGAATTTTCTTCCAGATTAATTAAGTTTGTAAACCTCTCGAATTTTATCAAAAGAAGAAGACTATTCTAGAAAGAAGGAAGACGTATAAGATTACAAATTCGTTTACCATTTCTTTTCGACGTAACGTTCTGGAATAGATGTGAAATAGTAGATTTCAAGAATACAAATATTTTGATTCTGTGTGGATATATTTCAATGTCATATTATAGAAAGTTTGACTTTCATTTTATGCAGCATCCTCATGCCGTTTTTATGATACATTGTTTCTTGTAAACTGAACAGAGTTTATTCTAGAATTCTGAAAATACATGATAAAATTGAGATGTAATAGTGTATTGAACAATTTGCACAATAAGCAACTCAGAAGCTCAATACCCTGTATTCTTGAAAGTTATTGGCTGCTCATTGACTAAACAAATCAAAATAGCATGTAATTTTATTAGTATTTCAACGCTATCTTAAGAGCGGAGCAATGGATATTCATGACTCTTTCTGATGTAACTCGAAGTTTGAGAAACCTACACGATGACTTAAGTTAGTGAGGAGCGCTATATTGACCAAACTGATTATGATTAAAAAACGTAGTTGTATCATGATGGAAAGTGATAAAATCGGATCAATCCAATGACAATATTCATAAACGTTAAGGTAAAATCGATTACGTGTACTTTTGAAGTTTTATATATCCTAGTCAAGCAAAATCACATTTCAATGAACACAATGATCAAAATCACGATGCACGAACAAAAGGGAGTAATAAGACGAACGATCTCTTTTTTGGTCCTCGCTAATTCTTATAGCCAATCATTTTTATCTTATAATCTGTCAGCAAACATTACAATACTAAATCTCTATCTTTATATTGGTAAAATGATTTTTTGGAGTTGTCTTTTTGACTGCGTAGAATTGGAGGCGAAACGAAAGCAAGTCAATATGATCATGAATTATTCTCGTGAGCAACGATGTAGATTCATATGATAAAAGTTTAGAAAATCGACCAACCTCTCTTGGTTCTTCTTCTTTAATATCTTTGAGCACTTGCTTTACTCCTTCTAATGAATTCCATTTAATCGATAGACCTAGTAAGGTTTTTAGATTTTCTTGTGAATCATTCTGATTTACAGACAGATCTTGAGATTTGTTTTGGGTTTTCGTACCAATCATTTTGTAGTCTTAATGTATCAGTAATGACATTTGATTTACTCATGTCTCCTAAGAATTAACTTACGTTTGAAAATCGAATTGAATATCGTTTCGGCAACATTAATATCTTTGTCTAACGAGTAAACATTCAAAAGGTGACGGTTTTTCATGTCCATAATCTTGGCTATTTCGCTTGTACAAAGGTCATAATCATAAGGTTTAAATGAAGCATCTGAGTTACTCTCATCATTTTGAAATTGTTTTTTTAATCGATCATCGATTTCATCGTTTCTTGGAGTACTAAAATTTTGAGCATGTTCTTGTGAAAATTATAAAAAGTTTTCTCTTACCAATTAGGATTTTGTTTCAGCAAATCACTTAATACATCAGCCATTCTACCGCTACCCTGAGAGAATATAAAACAAAAGTTAAAATACTTAGTTAAAGTTATATATCTCTTTCTTACGTCCATAATCACAACAGGACGCTTTTCTTTCAAATCATTCAGTATTACTTGCAATGTGTTGGGACCCCCTTCAACGATCACTGTTACCGCATAGCCTCAAAACCGAAAAACAACGTGAGGAAGACATTGCATTATTATATTATTATGTTCTCACATTGGCTTTTATTTTTGCATGCCTCTTTTACGAACATATGTCGCTGATGATCGCCTAAATAACCAGACATTTGACCATCATCAAACAATAGCATATATTTATGGTGTATTTCTATTGTGTTAGAATCAGTCGTTTCCAATAGTTCTTGAGGAAATTCATAGGCTTCTTCGTGTGCATCATAATTTGTGCCACCTTGCTGGTGCGTAAACTAAAAGAGAACAGAACTATTATCCTCTGAATCTTTTCTCAATTAACTACTGTACTTTTCCCAATAACAGATCTCTGGTTCTTGCAGTTAGAGTTCCCCATTTTGCTAAACCAATACTGACTACGTCCTTTGAACGGTCATTTAACATCCGGTCTTTTAATATCGCTTCGCCAACCAATCTGGCAACACCATGGTTTAAACCAGTAGTCAATATCCATCCATCTTCAGAAAAAAGAACGTTAATCTGCCGATGAAACTACAGTTATGTATTAAGCTTTTCGCGCGTTTAAACTCGTAAGCTTTCGTTTAGATTTTCATATCTTCGCTATAATCCTTTTCATTATTTTAATACTAAGATTGTTTCTTTATTCCTGCAATCGATGTAAAAAGCAGTAGGCCTATCTATCTCTGTACTTTTTCATTCATAATTATGCTACTAGTAGTGTTCGACTCCGATTGAATCACTAACATAGTGTTTGACCTCGGATCGAATCAAGTTGGCTCAGAACAAGTCGATCGATGTCGAGGTTTACATAAGAAAAATACGACTTATAGATGCGATGGAAACCTTGTTCTCGTCAATTTTGTCAGTATTTGTGCAGATACATTAAAAAACACTTAACCTCTGAAACAACTTGCTTCAATTGGTCAAAAGTATATTTAAGGTCTAGTTGAGTGAAGTCATCAAAAAAAATGTAGCTCTCCTATCGAATCGGATCGAATTGGATTAAGTCATGATGAAGTCGAATCAGAAAATCTTGATATACGTCGGACTCTAATAGATAGGTGTGTTTATCTTTTTTTTCCTCACACTCAGATAAAAATTAAACATTACCAGCAACTGTAGTTGCTTCAATAATACCACGCATGAATTCCTTCTCCAAACGTTCGTTCATTTTAAAATTTTTTGCACCACCATAAATACTTATTATTAGGCCTGGTTTTCGGTTGCAATCCGTACATATCAAATTGTAAAGTTTTTCAGCCGATGCTTTGAAATCACAACGAATACACTACACAAAAAGAAAAACTTGCATCTGTGGATGGAGAATATATTCTTACTACCTTAGTTAAGCGGGATTCATATGGATTGCACAAAATACCAAAATTTTTTGTATCTTCTATTGGTTTTGAACAACTTAAATAATTCCACCTATCATTACTTGGTGATATAGGTGGTGATTCAGATAGATTTTCGTAGCTGTGTGATCTTCTCAAACGACCACAACCACATGTGTCGTTTTGTTGTTGTTGCAGTAGCGCTTGTTGTAATTGTTGTTGTTTACTATATAGGATACAAGTGCGACGTTGTTTCAAATCCAACTTTGATATACCATCATGCCACTTTTCATACGAGGCTTTATGAGACGACATCTAACAAGTAGCTTTCTAAAAAAGAAAAAATATATATTGAAAGTTTCGAGAATCACAACTACAAAATCAGACTTATAGTTTGTCTCAAAGCACGAAATTTAGGTTCGAATTTCATTCATTTTCCAAGCATATAAAATTGTCTTGAGAAGAAAACACTACTAACAAAGACCAGGGGGTTTTAATAAACACTTGATTTTTTTAAAATTCAACGGTAGGATCCAGTAAAAGCAATTATATCTTTGAACAGATCTTGCTTGGATGCATATAGTCATATTGTTTTTTTTCTGCTCAAAATATAATTGAGCATGAATTAGTAAACTATTGGATTCGAACACGTGTTCTTATAAGTACGTCCACTACTACACCTGTACACCATCCTCAATCGCTACCTACAGCGAGAGCCGAGTAAAAACTGGCATTTGAGGTTGAGACTCACTTATTGCAGCAATTTTATCTATGCTATCGACTCATCACTAACTTAGATAGTTGCATTATGGTCTGGCGAAAATTCGTTTCTTGCGCTTAGTTGTGTTCATTGTCATTGTTATAGTAACAAAACTGCAATGCATAGCGTCAGCAAGATCATTAATTTATATGCTAACCAAGGGAGACAAAGCTGATTCGGGATCCTGCGCATTCTATAGATCCTTTTGGATTCTTTTGGATCCTTTTGGATCCTGTCAGATGCTACTAGGGCCTTATAAAAACTTTCTGACATTCTCAGGATCCTATTTATTAGCCAAGACCCTCATTAGTCACTTCAATTAGTTTCTAATGTCTCACCGGTTCGTACAGTATGAGCTCTTAACAACTTCTGCTGTATTTTTTCTCACTCCCGGGGCGAAAAAGGTGGGTTGATTTCTGCAGAAAAGTATCGAAAATCGTCGGAAGTGGAAGCAGTATTCCCATTGGAGATTTGCTGGACTTGTTTCAGTGGATCGCAGGCACAACCTTGTGCCTTCCAGCAGGAAACGGTTGGAATTCATTGGAAAAATCCGAAGAACTTTCCGATCGAATTACTGCTTCCAGTTCCGGCGATTTCCTGACTGATCTCAAGTTATAGAGATACATCAATACCGATTCCAGTCAATCTGAATTCTTGGAATTGAAATTGACCAGGATTATTCTAGAACTAACAACATCTGGTCTGAAATTGCCTATGATTAGTTGTTAGTCACACCCTTCGGTCCTTATCACCTATTATATGAAGGTATCTTTCGGTACTCAAGTCCTGTTTTATGGAAATATCTTGAAATTCTCAAGAATATTGCAAGAAGGTAGCTTTAGGTCCTTATCTCTTACTATATGAAAGTAGCATTAGGTCAGAAGAGGATGCAACCATCTTAAACTTCAATACCAATACGAAGTGGCACCGATGGCATTGAATAGCTACTTTGCACCAGAAAATCAAACTTGCAAATTTGAAAGAACTGATGATAGATTGGAATTCCTCTAACCCACAATAATTTGATTGTACTTTATTAAAAATCCTTATATTCGAAGAACGTCCTCTCCTAGATGAAAAAACTCATAAATCGGAAAATTTTGAGACATTGATTTTAAATTTTTCATTTTTTCGTCAAGGAAAGGCTCTTTATCGAGTATAGGGGCGTTTTAAGGTTTGATGAAAGTCTTGAACGATCTAAGAGTTCCAATCTATCATCGGTTTCAGAAAATTTTAAGTGTGATTGTCCTTTTTACACTACCGATTCAATACCTATAATACCATTTGGTATCAGTATTGCAAGTATTAGCATGGTTCCATCCTTCACCTGATTTAAGCTTAGCTCCATAGAACAGTTTGAGAGTCTAAGGGCACTACTATATAGCAGGAGATAAGGACAAAAGAGTGTGACTAAGAACGTATCGTTGTCAATTGTATGTCGGATTTTGCCAGTTCCAGATCGATCCTCCTCAACACCAATCAATTTCAATTGCACACTCAGTGAAATCCAACCAATCCTAAGCATTGGAATTGACTAAAATTGGAATTGGTGCATCTCCACACTAAATATCTAGGTTTTGATGACATTTACAGTCAAAAGAATTACAAAGGTTAATAAGTAATGTCACGGGATCAAACACGTCTCAATAGTTAGAAAAGACAATGTTTATGATCTAGTTATGCTTTGAAAAGGCTTGATAAATAAATTTTAGTATAATGCTTTTCTTTTTGGAACATGAACAGTTACCTATACCAGTCTTTTATTGATCGATGCACGCACAATTAGACTATTTGTTCATTATTTTTGGATCGACAAAGCATATTATTCTTATTTTAAATTCATTTTATCTTCAAAACTCATGCTGTTTTCAATACGTGAGAAGAATTGAAGACTTTTATCGACATTTCAAGAAAAGGGAGCAAAGTGTTGACTAAATATTACTAAAATCTTAGCTCTTTAACTCATCATTTTCAGGTTACGCAAATAGTATCCTTGGCTATTCGTTTCTAAAACAAACATTAGTTATTCTAACACTTATTAACAACAACGTCATTTCACACAGTAGCAAAGGACTGCAACCCTATTGAGCGTTCATAAAAGTTGTTGATAATCTAATAGAATTTCAGCAACCAAAATGACCGATAAACAGCAATCATAAGTTTAGTCTTCACCTTCTTTTCCGACTTACCATTAAGTGCTGTATTAAAACGAAACCTATGAAATTCGCGTGGGCGAAAGTTTTTAAAAATCGCCACATACCAGGGTCTGTTGAAGGTGTTATCGAATATCTTTTATTAATTATGAAGAAATCCTTAATTTTCTGATTTTGCACTGACATTGTATTGTATTCCTATAAACCCTATTGGATTGTTTTGGATTCTTTCGTATCCTACGGATCTATTTCGATTCTTCTGGATTCTATGGATCCTTTTGGATCCTATCGGCTCCTGTGGATTCTGTCCGATTCTTTTGGAACCTAGGATCCGAAAGGATCCACTTTTTCCTTCTTGAAATTAGTTCAATCTATAGATCGATGAAACTCTGCTTAGAGATGCATCTCAAGGATACCTCCCCAGGTCAAAGTTCGAAAATTTTTTTTCTCTTAGAGATCTGATACCTAGAGATGCGACATCTCTATTAGAGATCTGTTTATGGATGTAGTATCTCTTACTCTGCATGATAAGACATTGAATTTCTTATTGCGAGTCAGGTTTTTATGGGCTAGTTACTGCAATAGTTGACTGAAATCGCTTGTTTGTATCAGATATCTTTCGAGATCTCTAAGATCCCCCATTTTTTAGATTTGTTACACTGCTGAACTTTTGGGAATTCCACTGTAACAACTGTAGTTTATGCCTTCTCTCATCGACTTCTAAAACTTAGTATTTTTGTTGTTTAATAACACTCACTTATTGAAGTTTATGCAAAGAGGAGATTTCAGAATTCAATCTATCTTCCAGTTTCGTGCTCATTTTTAATTCTCTACCGTTGTACTTTCACATGTATAGGCTAAGTCAGTTCTCTAGAGCTTTGCAGAAAGATGCTGATTTTTATTGTTCATAACATTGAATCTTTGAAAATCTTTTCCAGAGCACCTCTCATGCTGTAATTTATCTCTCGAGCCGATACTCGTTTTTCATTGTTCAATGCTCCACCGAAAGAATTCCTATCCATTTTTTATTTGGGATAACACGGTCTTAGTGACGCTCATCGTATTGGAGTTGTGAGGATGAGGAAATGTTCTTCGTGATCTGCGATAACGCGACAACAGCTTGCTGCTGCTTATGGATGCTCGAGAATACTACTGATGAGTAATATAATAAGGGCTTATTTCAGCACGAACCATTGCTCTCAGAAACTGGTCATAATAGTGAGAAGTGGCAGTATTCAACGACTTCAGAACTGTTGGGAAACCCTAGAAACTCTTGGAATCATAGGAACTCTTGAAGCCCTGGGAAGTTCAAGAATTCTTGGAGTCCTTGGAACGCTTGAGTTCAAACAAGTGAGCTCGACACGTACGCTCGAAATTTCGAGCTGACTGCCGCATCCACATTTTACCAATCATACCGATTCATCTTTACCATTTAGCATAGATGGGTGTTTCCAAAGCTGAAAATATGTTATCAGTATCATACGTATTCTAGGTAATTAATAATTAATTAACTTTTAGTTAATTAGTGCTCAATGAATAAGTACTCAACTAATTAGTACTCATCCTAATTAGTATTCAGTTAAGTAATGCATTATCACTCATGTAATGGATAAGACCTATTCTATGAGAATATCCATAAGTTCCCAAGCAATATCCTATGAGGCATCCCCGGGTCTTCTAGCCCTATCTATGAGAGGACCTAGAGATTCTCAAGCCTTATTTCAAGTGGTATCCGTAGATTCTCGAACCCTATCACAAAGGTTCTCAACCTCTATCTTATGAGTGATCCATAGATCCTCAACCTCTATCCCAAGGGGCATTCAAAGATCTTAACCTTATTCTACGAGGGACACAAAGGCTACCAAGCTCTATCCCAAGAAATTCTCGTAGGTCCTCAAGCCTATTTTAAGAAGTATCCAAAGGTGCTGAATCCCTATTCAATAAGGCGACCGATAGATCCTCAAGCTCTGTCCTATGAGGAAACTTGTAGATCTTTAAGTCCTTCCCTACAAGATGATCTATAGGTCCCCAAACTCTGTTCCGGGAGACATGTCCACAGTCTTGAACGGTACGCCAATAGGGAACCCATGCATAGGTGTGTGACAGCTCCATTTCAGTTCAATGAGCTGCAGCTGATCAGCCAGCTGCTGTGGACATGAACTAGAACCAATCATTACCTTTTGAACTCAGCAACATGTGAGCTACGAGGCTAGTGTTGCCAAACGCTTGATGTTGAATCGATCTTTGAAAAAAGAGGAACTCAAAGTTGTACGAAAATTTGCAAATGCAGTTTCCACGACACAGTACTCATTGGCAACTAAAACCAGTGAATCACATCACTCAGTTGCGTTCAGTAATAAAAACAGTTCACTGTTACTTCTGAAACGAAAACTCAATCACAT